TCTTGTAACTCTGCAAGCTTAAATGAAATTACCACTGGGTATGACTCATCCTTCCCTAAGAATGCATATTTTAGGTCAAATGGGAGAGGTTTTAGTTCAGGCTTTGGTGGCTTGACACTTGATGAAAGTGGCTTTGTACCACTTGATGAAAGTTCTTCAAATTTGGGTGCCCATGTCTCACTAGCATGAGTGTGACAACTTTGTGGATTTTGATCATCATCTGTTAACTTAGACGTGATAGGTTTTAATAGATAGGATTTAACAGAGGTTTCACAAAATGCATTATTCAAATGTTCGTGGACCAAAGACTCAATGGAATTTACTTCTCTCGCTTCCTTGTCCTCTCTTGGGTGCTTGGCAATATTGAAAATATTAATCTCAAGAGTCATATTCTCAAAATTTAATTTCATAACTCCATTCCTACAATTGATTAATGCATTGGAGGTTGCTAGGAAGGGGCAGAGGTTTCACTAAATGTATCATTCAAATATTTGTGGATCAAAGACTCAATGGAATTTACTTCTCTCACTTACTTGTCCTCTCCTTGGTGTTTGGCAATATTAAAAATATTAAGCTCAATAGTCATATTCCCAAAAGTTAATTTCATGACTCCATTCTTATAATTGATTATTGCATTGGAGGTTGCTAGGAAGAGTCAACTAAGAATGACAGAAATTTGGTTCTCTGAATGCATTGTTGGCTGAGTGTCCAATACAATGAAGTCAACAGGAAAGATGAAGTTGTCCACTTGAACAAGGACATCCTCAACTATGCCTCTTGGGACTTTGACAGACCTATCTACCAACTGTAGTGTAATACAATTGGGTTTAAGTTCACCTAGACCCAATTGTTGATAGACAAAGAAAGGGAGCAAATTGACACTAGCTCCAAGATCCAGCAGAGCTTGTTCTATTTTGAAGTATCCAATGACACATGTCACGGTTGGAAACCCTAGATCCTTGTATTTTGGAGGGGTTTTGTGTTGAAGTAGGACACTGGCTTGTTGCATTAAGAAGGCTCATTTTTTTAATATTTTGGCTTCTCTTGATTGTGCACAAGTATTTTAGAAACTTGGCATATAAGGGAACCTGCTTGATTACATTCAGAAGTGGGATATTGATTTTCACTTGCGTAAAGAGCTCGTAGATTTCTAAATGGTTATTCAACTTCTACACTATTTTGAGTCTTTGAGGAAAAGGAGTAGGAATTGGACAAGAAGGATCTTTTTCCTTAGATGGTTTTGGCTCTTTTTCAATTACAGGTTCAGGCTTAACTGGTTCAGTGACTAGGATTGACACAAGTCTTGGCTTTGGAATTAACATATCTCTGATGTTTTTGTCAATCACCCTGCCACTTCTCAGTGTAGTGATAGCTTGAACTTGGTCTTGTGGGGTTTCCATGATTGTAGGATTTTCCACATGAAATTGGCCTTATGGTTGTTTTGGTTGGGCAAGAAACTTGCCCTTCTCATGTGTGGTCATTGATTGGGTCAATTTTTTAATTTAGCTTTTGAGATCCTCGAAAGACTAGGTGGTTTGGGCTTTGAAATCATTGAAAGCCTGAGTGAAAAGAGTGTTGTAGTTCATTTGGGTTTGCATGAACTGATTCAGTGTATCCTCAGGACTTCTCTTATATTGTGGTTGGTATGGCTGATATGTAGAAGGTCCTTGAGGTGGTGGTTGTGAACTTTGTTGTGGATTCATGGGACTTGGTTGTGTGTTCCTCCAATTGAAGTTTGAGTGATTCCGCCACCATGGGTTATATGTTTCAAAATACGAGTTGGAATAAGGCTTTTTGAAGTTAGAAATTGCATTTGTTTATTCCAACAATACTTCTTTGAATGCTGGAATGGGTAGGACACTCTCCATTAGGGTGTCCTCTTAGTGCACAAATCCCATACACTTGTTCTATCGGAGGGCCAACATCAACTTGGTGTACTTTTTTCATCTCTAGGGCTTCAAGCTTTCGAGATAGGATAGTCATTTTTGCTCTTAGGTTATCATCTTCTTTTAAGACATACTTAGCCCCTTGGGAAGTAGATGGTCTAGTTTCAACAGTGGTTGGAGAAGTTGAGTCTCACATCTGAGAACTATCTGATTTGGTGTCAAAAAATTTGAATGCCTCTTTTGGACTCTTTCCCATGAACTCTCCTTGAACCATCATTTCAACAAACTGACGTAGTCTAATGTGCAAGAAGTCCTAGAAAAATCCTACCAAATTCTAATTTGCCAAAGCATGGTGTGGGCAAGATCCATGAATCTCTTCCAACATTGGTAAAATGATTTCCCCTCTTTAACAAAAAAATTCATGATTTGCCTTCTGAGTGCATTGGTACGGTGTAGGGGGAAATTTTTTTTGAAAAACTTATTCTGTAATGCATGCCAAGTTGGTATTGGAAGGACTTTGAAAGAGTTTAGCCATTGTTTAGCTTTGTCCTTTAAAGACAAAGGAAAAAGATTCAAATTGGCCAGTTTAGAATTATCTTGGAATGTTCTACATACCTCATCAAAATATTTTATATGCAGATATGGGTTTTCTGCTTTGAGTTCATGAAATTGAGATAGTAGTTGCACGGTCCCCGCCTTTACAGTAAAGAGGGGCGCATTTGCAGGAAACACAAAACAAGAGGGGACACTGTTTCATGTGGGATGCAAGTAATCCTACAGAGTTTGAATTTTAGGAACTTCTCCCTCTCTCTCAGGAACTTCCCATTGTCTCTCATTATTGGCCATGCTATTTTCAAAAGATTGGGCTACTGATCTAGGTGATGATGGTTCAGATTGATTTACCGACCCAACAATTTCTTCTGCCAAATTTTGAAAGTGAGGATCGTCCTCAGACCTAAAATAAAATTATACATAGTAAAGAAAATATATATACACAAATGAAGGTCTTTTCACCTTTTACCTTAAAATACCTTTTTGGTTCCTTGGCAACGGCACCAAAAATATGACTTGATCCGAAATGTGTCCACCTAAGTATAGAAGGTCAAGTTGTAGTAATAATTCGGTAAATTCCAGAGTCGAATCTATAGGGAACTAATGTTGGTGTTTCAAAGTAAATAGTGACAGAAAAGTGAGTGATTCTCATCTCTCCAAGTAGAGAAGTTACAAGGTAAAACACACTACACAAGGAGCCGATCTTTGACTAAGAATGAGTGAATCACGTTCTACCCTTCATGACTTTGGTAAAGCTCTAGAAAAGTGGAAGAATTTCACTCCTCTAAGGAAAGAAGGAAGCTCAAACAATGGAAGAAAATGAAACTAATAATGAAAGTAGAAGAAAGATAGTCACTTTTGGAAGATTTCCACCTCAACCAAAAGATGATATATCCGCCTCTATGCAAGTAAATGTAAGTCCAAGTAAAAGACTAACTCTAGAACTAGCTCTAGCTCCTGTTTTTGAATCTCCCACAATGGGAGTATTTATAGGCAAGGAGGAAGAGGCAAAGAAGTGTGGAAGAATAGTTTAAGATCTTCAAAGTCCAAGTGAATGCCCCAAGGTCTGGATAGAAAATCAACCACTCTGCAACCTGTCTTGGGACAACGTTCAAATGTTAGATGGTGTTCGAACTTTGTCTCCTATCTTCCTTGATGGGCATTCAAAAATTGGATGGAGTTTGAACTTCCTACTCAAGTGGCATTTGTTCTTATGTGAGAGTAACCGCAACACGCCATATGCCATTGTCCTAGCACTCAACAGTTTGGTCCTCAAATGATTTAAGCCAAGGCTCGAACGTGGATTAGTGTTCGAAAGTGGTACTCAGGTACCTTTTTGTTTTTCTTCTCAAGGAATAGCTGCAACAAGCCATCTAACATCACCTCAGTAGTCTGATCCTCAAATAATTCAAGAGGACATTCGAACGTGTATTGGCATTTGAACGTTCATGCCTTGTTTCAAACTTTTTCAATTTTGTTCCAGAACATGTGGGTGTTGCATGAAAGTTTGGTACCCATTGAATTTAGGCCCTTGTATAATCTTTCTCCTAAAATTTTATCATTGAAATTCTATTAAAGTATAATTAGTCTTAAAAAGGCATAGTAAGTTGCTAATTTTAATTACTAATCAGCTAGCATCTAACTATGGACTTGGTTCTAGTATCAAACTTTGGAACTTCTAATCCTATTTTGACTATAACGGATTAGGGTTTTTTTATTAGCTCTCTAGTATTGATATGAGACTAATAGAAGCCCATGAAGAGTTACCCCTAATCTAAAGAGGCTCGCCCATATATATAGGCTCCATAATTAGAGTCAACTTGCTGCCCAAGAAAATTCAAATTCGTGGGGGACTGTTCGAGCCATTAGGGGGTAGTCAAATAACTTTTGATTAAGAAATTTTAGATTCAATAATTGTAGTTCAACAACTAGTTCTCCCCCTTAGTTGGTGTTACACAAACGTAAATAACAAGTGCAAATTTACAATTGAAAAACTATTAAGGGAAAAAAAAAGTAACTTCATTCCAAGTTTGTAAATGTACTACCCTTGAATAATTTCAACAAACTATTATGCTTCTTATGAAGTTGTGTTTGGCACTTCATGACAAAAATGGGGAGAATTTTGGGAGAAATTTGATGTCTAGCAACAAAAAACTGAATGCATGTCACAAAAAAAAATAGAAAAATAAGGGTATAGTAGCATAGGACAATGAACAAGTATAAACTCTCAAGCTCCCATAAAGTTCTAAATAAGTCTCCAAGCCCCAAACACCGTTAGTAGTTGTATCATGTCCACCATCTTCACCAGCACCTCTTCCTATTCCATCTCTAGGCAGACCTTTCCATTCAACATGCATCTGATCCTCCCTAATCTCTCTGTACCCCTTATCCTATGCCTTCTCCAAGCACATAATTTGACTATTAAGAGAATCCAATCTATGCGAAGTGAGGTTGAGATTCTCATCCATATAAAACTCAATTCAATTGAGCATGCTATAATAGCATAAAACTAGGCAAACACAGACTCGAGACTAAATTCAAGTGGTGGTGTATGTTAAATACTAGTATAAGAGTGCATAGGTGGTTCTGCTCTAGATGTAGAAGGTCCAATCTCAAGAGCTGGCACATTCATCTCAACCTCCATATCCTCTCCCTCAACCTTACCATTCATTGGATCAATGATATACTCAATATGAGTCTCACTCTGTCACATATAACCCTTATTAAAGGGCCTCTTAGGTGGCTTTGTCCAACTAGTCATGAAGAAAACTCCACCCTATTTGTTGTAGATGCGATTCATTATAGAACTAAAAAAGAAACCATCCGACATTCTACCCTTTTTAAATGCTCATCAAATAACCCCAAAAGTGTCACACCCTAGATCTCCCAGACATATAACATATAACGCCTCGCATCTTAGAAGCACTTTATGTAATAATTGAAACATAACATGCTATAACTCCACCATTGTCCACATTAAACATAAGTGATATAGTTAAATTATAGAAAGAAGCCTAACTATTGTTACAGACTTCTACTAAACTATTAGTAAACTAGAACTTATTACATGCAAAAGTTCAACTTTAAAACCCTAGATAAAGATAAACAAGAACTCACAGTCCATAACATACTTCTCATTCACAATGCTTGTCCAAGTACGAAAAAGAAAACGATAACGTAGGGTGAGCGTCAAGTAGCTTAGTAGGTAAACTCAATTCTAAACAAACTAGTTTGAAAATTGGTACTTTGTTGTGATTGGGAGAAACAAGAAACAGGTCATTTCATACATAACTAATAAGCGAAACAACTGAGTGCAAACAGTAAAGTGCGGAACAAAAAATGAGTAATATAGTGCCACACCATAGAGTAAATTTTTAAAGGACCACTCAGATTGATATGAATCATATGATCCAACATTTTAGGGGACTTGCACCTCCACAATACAATACCATCCAATTTGGTAACCAAGTTCGAAGACCAATGAGCCACCCAAGAATTTACAAATTCAATGAAACCCTCTACAGTTTCAATTTAGAATGTAAATCCTCTTCCACTCGATCCTATGTGCAGTTACATTTCATATATTGTGTTTTTTAATTTTTACATTTATTGAACAAGTTCAATCATAGCTCTAACACGCTTTTTGAAACCCTATGCAAATTTAAATTTCATAAAGATGCAAACCAATGAATCACATTCACAATAAAAATTTAAACATCCTCATAAAGTAATTTAAGTAATTGAAAAGGTTTCAGAAAAGTAAAGCTTGTTCTAAAATTGTGAATCCCTACATCGATTTACATATTTGCCCAAAAATTGCTAAAAATAGAATGGAAATTTTTAGTGACATTTAAATAATAACAATATTTTAACCAATTAAACATAGTTTTAAATTTGATTGGTTCAAAAATTATATCACTAGGTCAAAGCATGATCTGAAGGGCAAAATGGACAATTTACACGATTTTTCCGAGAGTTTCAGATCGCAAAATGGAGGAAATTTTTGGAATCCTTGTGAAAAATAGAGTCCAATGCCACCATGTAGACCCCATGAACCACCCCATGCGCCAATGGGAAGTTTGGCCCTAAAAAATATTATTCATCTACTTTTTCCTCCTTTGACCAAACCTATTTTCTAACTTAGCTACCCAACTTCAAACATTCATTTCTCCCTTGTTCAAACTTATTTTTCAATGATTCCAAAGCCTAATCTACACTAATACATACTTATTTTAGGATTTTAACCTTGGTTTTAATCAAAACCCTATTCACCTTTACAAAATTTGAGTCAAAATAGGGTACATAACCATTTTTCAAGGTATGCTTCAGACCTTTAAGTCTATTTTTCACTCTCCAAACTTGATTCTTTTGCAAATCCAAGGAAAAAAATGAATTCCATGACCCCACATTTGTAGATCTAGTACCCTTTTACAATTAAAACTAAGATTTTGAAGATCTTGAACAGCAAGATTCAAACTAAAAAAGGGTTTAACCACCTCATCTCTACACACCATGGCCATGGCTACCAAGCACACCCATGCACTCCAATACATCCCTATAACACAAGCCAATCCTCAGTTGAAATAAAAACCAACAATTTCCATGAAACCCATTTCACAAAATTGAACCTACTTCAATCTTTAAACAAAATTCAAGCACAAATGCTACATTAAACACACTACAATAAAAAATAAAGTCTTACCCATTGGTTTTGATGATCGAATATCTCTAAACTAAAAACTCATTTTGTGTTATTCACTTTTGAATTTCAAACTCTCTCTCTCTCTCTCTAATCCATTTTAGGCATTCCTAAAGGGTTTAAATCCATCCAGGAAGGCATCTAGCCCCCCTAACAATTGATTTGAATGCCTTGCTTCACCTCCAAGTCCACCTCATACTTCCTTCATGTGAGGTGCTCGGTGGAGAGGCATTTTTGTAATTTTGCAATTTTTTAATTTTTTTTAGAACACAAACTTAATTTACTAACATAAAAATGTAATTTTCCCAAATTCTCGCACACCATAGCACATAATTGAATTTGTTCAATTCAAAATTGTAACCCCTATCCGATCGATTCCAGGTATAACCTCACTCCGTCCAAATTCCCTTGCTCGCTCAACTCACACCATTTCAAACTTAAACTATACACTATTTCCCATTTCATTTAAGCATGATTGAGGTCTTGGCCTGCCAGACACGACTCTTGAGGTCCGAATCTGGAGACTTGACCCTCAAAACCTCAGTTATCACACTAAGTATCAATAATAACAAATCAATATCAACACCAATCACTGTGGTTTACAATATCTACACTCTCTAGACCATGAAATCAGGAACATGGGATTTTGGGTTGATGTTGTGGTTGGTTATTAGATTAAGCATTCTATAATCTCTTGTCAATTTTTTTTCTTATAGAACTACTGTTCAATCCAATCTATAGGATGAGGAGTGCCATACAAATCATATCCATTATCGAAAATACAAGGTAACTCATTGAGTAGCTTATGCTCAAAGGCATAATTTTCAACCCTAGATATGTCAAGAATGGTAGGAATAAGATCGGCAGAGAACTCAAATTGAATCACACGAATGTAAGGGACAAAATGCTTTGCGTTGGGATCTGTATCTCTAATTTGGGCATAAAAATCTCTAACCATATCATCATTCACATACTCCCAAATTAAATCCCATGAATGCAAGTGGCAAAGTACTCAACGTTGGGGTTCTTGTCTTTATATGAGCATAAAACTCTCTAACCATGCCCTTATTTGCATGCTCAAGGGAAGCGAAGAGACTAGTCCATCTCTGATTACTGAAATTTGAAGTGATAGAAGAATTTCTTACCCCTATAAAGTAGGCACCACACTTCATTATAACTGACCTTAATGCATACTTATCCCGATAACTTTGCTCATATTAGGAAGTCTGAAATTGACAACTTTCTTCAAATAACTCAACCTTAGCCCTTTTATCAACTTATGCTGCAATCCTAAAATTAAATGGGTGATGAAGTTTCAAAGTAATTATTTATCAAAGATCTGAAGTAGATTGAGAGAATGGGTGGGTGATGGTTTAGGGTTTTGAGAGGATTGGCTCAATTTTAGAGGAGTTTGGAATGAAAAGGGATTGTCAAAATCTAATTTAAATACCCTGGGGTCTGAAACTTTATGGACGCCACCCAAACGATGTGGAGGCTGCCTAAGTGGTACTTGAAGCATAGTAGTCCAACTGGCTATTCTGCTTCCACTCGTCCTCCGAACAACTCCAACTCTTCCTTTACCCTCCGCTTGACTCAAGGAGCCCTTAAATGCATACATGAATAAAAACAATCAAATGCACAAGCATGGAGGAAATTCAAATCAAAATGTAATGCAATTTTCAAATTTCTTAATTAAATGCAAAAAAAGAAAACATGAATATTAATGAATGCAGAACTTTGCACTCATGCATCGTTAGAACTATTTCCAAAAACTTAGTCAGGATTCTCCGATCATTCACACGTGTTCAAATTTTATTTTTCTTTGATCAACCCATAGTGTCTAAAACCAAACTTCCACAGAATTAAGAATCCATCTAGGTTAAGATATTAATGTATCTTGCCATGATATTATAATCCATCATCTAAGTGAAAATATAGCCATTTAGTAAGTGTCTTATTTGATTTTTCTTTTTGTACTTTTTTTGGGTGCTCCCCCTATTTGTTTCATACCTTCTACTTATTATGACCTCTACTACAACTTTAGAATTTATCACCCAAGTGCAGGTTGTGCGAAGTAATATAATACTCGAAAGTCCGAGGTCGAACCACAAGGCATTGAGAAAAATTTAGAACACAAAGAAAAATAAAAGAAAATTATTTTGAAGAAAATTGTTGTATAGATTTTGAAATTAGAAATCAATAAATTTGTTTTTTAAAATAATAATTAAAAATACTAGAATGTCAGGTAGTCCCTCTCAAATCCATACAATAATGATTATAGACTTAGTTTTCAAACCTAGACAATAATCAAATGTAGGTTGATTCAAGTCACCAAATTTAGCAATAAGACTAAGAAAACACATTTATTTATAATTAAAAATTTATTCAGGAACCTGAGTAATTCTCCAATTATATTATTATGTGAACTAATTGTAATCAACTTAAGCATGGAATAACTAGTTATTTGACTCTCAGAAAAATTCAAGCAATCAATGTACATGGCACAATGACTCAAGATTTTTTACAGAGCAAAAACTTTGCTGAGAAATCAAAAGATGAATTAACAAAATATCACATACCATTAAGCTCAAAAGTTAATAACATTACCATACTTCATTGAGAGATCCTCCCCAAGCCCTAGCTAAACCTTTTAGCCAGACATGACAAACTAAAATCAAATAATAATAATAATAATCATCATCATCCAAATCATATATGAGATATAAGGTTGGCTTGGAAGGAATTCCTTTCCAAAAAGAAGTCTTTCAATGTTCCCTTTGCATAAAATCTTTGGGGTGCAGGTATAAAATCTCTCCAAATTTTGAGCTTGGATTTCAGATATTGAGATGTTGATTCACAAAATTTTTGTGATACACTTTTGTAACCCTTGAATTCTTCTTTCCAACCCCACAAAAATCAAGTCAATCGGATATCGGAGTCAAAAGATATGACCAAAATACTGAAGATGTGTCAAATTCTTATCTTCTAGGATACTTTCCCAATCCAACTTTAAATGAGTTTTCTTTTAACTTAGACTCTTATAAGGATTAAAATTACTGATATATCTTCAAATCTGCCTATCTCAATCTTGACTCTTCAATCCTTATCAATTGTGATTCTTCCTCTAGTGATTGCTTCACATGCCTTATCCATTATTACTTTAAATCAACCAATTTACCTACAAAATAAACCAAACAACTAAAAAAAGTATCAAAGTAAAAAATTAAGGAATTTAACATATTTAATCACAAAAAATTAAATATAATTAAATAGTAATTTTGATGGTTAATTAGCCTCAATAAGTATGAATGTGAATTCCCTACTTTACATATTTAGCTTATTTGACATTGGTAGAGTAGCTCTTTAAGCTTTACACATATGAGAATTCACTATCATCAAATAGTACTCTCAACAATTCTATTGATTTTAGCCATATTGTTATGAATCATTTTTGTAGTTGGTCACTGATGAGTGTATAATATTTGCATATTTTATGTCTCATATCATTCATCTTAGACTTCATTGTTATCTATGTATCTTGTTTTAGATTAGTTTTGTGTTTTATAGGGAATCTTTGTGTGTGTAGATGTATTGATGCAAAGACAAGGTTTTACATTGGTTTTTATGCCTTGGAAAATTTTGGGGATGAGATAAGAGATCCACGAGTTGAACTAGGAGCATTACAGAGGAAATTCAGAAAAAGTGAGGTTGTACTGGTAGGTTTCCTACCATTTCATCAGGCAGCATATAGAGTTTCTGCTAGCAGCTATGAAGTTCTACTATTTAAATCAAAACAAAAAAATTTTAATCGGTAGGTTTAGAACATAGAGCAGTTGTACCAGTAGCTATGACGAACTACTAGTTCATGTGAAACAGTAACTTTGCTACCAATGGTCAATATCTACTTCTCGTCGGTTCATCAATGTTTTATGCTAGCAAGAGCTCTTTTGGAAAGAAATCGGTTGGGGTCTTATAAACCATCCCATTGGTGGAAAAATAAAAGGAAAAAAGCCAGCTAATATTTCCAATAAATCGTAAGGCTAAGCAAGGGAGAGGGGATCAATTGATCAATCAATCTTTTATTATTCTTTACCCGTTTCTTTTCTTCTCCAACTTTAGAAACTTGGGTTTTGTTCTTTAAGTTTTCTACTTATTCTTTGTTTCTTGTTCTTTATATTTTTGAAGTATTTCTTTTTTAGTCTTTTAATTTCAGAAGGAGTATGTTGATTCTATTTCTTGTAATCTTTTACAGTTTTAATTTTCAATACAAGGTATTTTTTTGATTTCAATTCAACTTTAATTACTCCTTTATTTATGATTATGTTTTCAATAATTGCTCTTAGTTTTACTTTTGCAATGAGTGAGTAGTCATTTTCAGTGTGATCAGATGAGGGATTCTCATCCATGAATAGGTAGTTTGACCTAACTAGGGTTTATTAATTTAAATTTATTTTATTTATTGAACAATTGATTTTGGAAATATGGTTGATATGTATACCTCTTTACTTGTCCATAGACAATTAGGTTTTGGTACGGATAATACTTGGAATCACTACAATAAACATAACTATAATTCTTCGACCAATTAATTCAATCAATTTAAAATTTTTACAAAAAGAGAATAATGGTAAATTGCCGCTACAGTACGGGTTGAAAACTTAATTTTTTCTAGATCTTGGATGATGAAACGGACCCCACCATTGGATTCGTCTCTCGAAATCTAGTTACTCTATCAAATTTCATTGAATTCTGAGATAGTCAATTTTTTTTGCGTTTGACGAGACGGTCAAGTCTCGGGTGACCCAAAAATGAGATTTTTGATAAAATTTCGAATTTGAAAAATTATTTAAGGTAAGTTAAACATAAAAATATTTTGAACTTCAACCGGAATAAAATTTAATCGTTTCGGGGGCGAAAACAGACCCAAAAAAATAGGACCGTGTGGCACGTTGTGGGCCAAGCATCGAGAAATATAAATAGGGGGAAAATCTGAATTTCTCCCCCACACACACACTCAACCGTTGCCGATAGAGAAGAGAGGAAAAAGAGATAGCTCCTCCACCTTCTTCCTACGATCTACAACTTCACGGTGCTCGGATTCACTCGGGCCAAGAAGGAAAGTTGTTATCATCGACATAGGCTACAAAACCACACCAAGGAGGTCGGTTTAGGGTGAGATTCCAAGGACAAGATTTTTGAGAGGAGAAAATTCTAGCTAGAAGCGGGTTCTTGGGACTTCCTACGATCGTTGTTTACGTTTCAAGAACTAGGGTTCCTTTCTACTTAGGTTTATTTGACAACCTAGGGTGTAGTATGTAATGGGTATGTGGATAAAAAGATTTTATCATTACCTATGTTGTGGAAATTGATGAAATGGGTATTGAAATTGGGTAAAATAAAATTTTACATTGAAATGGGTTGTGAATTAGAGTCAATGTGATCCATGAAATTGGGTGTTATGTGGGCAAGTTATGTGTTTATTTTATGCCTTGGGAATTAAGTGTGTTGTTAGCATATGTTATGTAATAACATGCTTGTGAATTGTTGTTGAAAATGAAATATTGATATATGCTCATTGATATATAACATTATGAGAAAGTTTGGTAATTATATGCTTCGGATATAAATTGCCATGGAACTTATTTGAATGTAGTTAATTTGCTCATGTGGCATTCTATACATATGGGCATTACATGGATTAGACAATAGTGCATTACATTGCATTTGCATGGTGGGAATGCATCCATAGCCATGAGTGTGGGTGTGTGTGTGTGCATGGTAGATATCAAACACCAAATAGGTGGTCAGCGAGTGTGCTCGGGAAAGTTGGATTGAATATTCGGTTGAGTTGCACAGTTGCATGAAAAAGAATTGGGTCAGGGTTAGCAAGAAGGGCTATACTATTCCTCGGGTGAGAGGCTCGGTATTTAAGATACACACTTCTGTTGGTACAAGAGCCTATAAAGTGTGTCAGTGTACGCGGAACCGTTGGTGGAAGTCTATGAATTCTGTGTCAGTTGGGTGACTGTTGGTGTAAGTCCATAAATACCCACCCCAAGAAAGATCCAGAGATTTTAAATAGTCATTGGGTGTATAACACAAATGGCAGGGGCTTGGAAAGCCCAATTTTGATACTCACTGCAAAGCATGGGGTGAAGGTAAACTGCTAGAGCTAGAAAAGCTCGGTTTATACCCATTGGCATTGCATGTGTTGTGGAGCCGGGAAGGGCTCCGGTAAATTGTATGAATTGTATCATTTCGTTTATGACATGGCATGTTAGATTCGAACTTTGATTTGCTTAAATATTAGTTGGAATGATTGTTGTTGGAAAATGTTGCATGTGAATATTGCATATGCACTTAGGTTGGGGAATAGCCTCAGTAAGAAATATTCTATTGGGCGTTGACTCACCCTATACGGAAAATATTTCAGGTGCGGGGTACATTCTGGTGGATGACACCCATTCGGGGCCTCGAGGGTGAAGAAGAAGATGCTTTGTGGCTTGGAGATGAAGTTTTGTAAAATTTTTGTTAAAAACTACGTTTTGACATGTAAATGTATGAATCAAATGGGATAGAACTTCTATGGATCATGTATAATGT